AACAGACTACCACAAAATTACTAACATAATCACCAAAGACCAGAATATTTTACATGAAGTTTTGAACAGCTTGGAATATAAGAGCTATGATGGGTTAAAGCAAGGATTAAAGGAATTTAAAAAACCTGCTTCAGATATAAATCAAGAAGTCATGGATCAGGCTGCATGTCTTCTGTCTGGAAGCAAGTGAATGAAAACTGGTTGCCAAAACCCCTTGATGCACTGTTCTCTGCCGCATGCCCATGAAAGAAAATGACATTCAAGTCCAGTTCAAGTAATGCATGAGTGACTGGGAAAGTAACACAATATTTGTATCATTTGTACAATTTCTACAGAACAACATTTATTTTTTAAAAAGTGCAAAACTGGAAGGAAACAGTTCTATGCAGTGCTAGAAATGGCATCAACAGAAAGACTTTTATGATGGGGAGGAGGTGAAGGAGGTGAAGAGAATGTACCCTGTGGAGCTCAGGAAAGAGCTGGTGCAGGACAGCAAGCTGAAAAGGTAGCTTTTGCAAGTACATACACCAGCTGCTCAATTTTCGCTTGTATCTGGCAATTGAACAACTATACTGAATGTGCAATAAGTGATTTTAAGGGAAAGAACAGACAGTTAGTACACCAAACGGTTAAAATAGGCTAGAGAATAACTGATCCAAAACCAAACAGCATGCGTGGTTTCAGAACAAGTTTGAATGGAGAGAAATCAGAGGGGTTGGGATAGGGAACTGGTCTCTCAAATGCACAGCATGACTCTAAATATCCAAAGGTGAGCGCAAACTAATAATCAGTTTGAATTAACTACAACTAATAATTGAATCAGTGACTCACAGAAAGGTTGAGGTTGGACAGGACCTCCACGGGGCATCTGGTCCAACCCCCCTCCTCAGGCAGGGCCACCTAGAGCAGGTTGCCCAGGAATAGGCAACTGGTATGTGGTGACCATCCTCTCCTGGCTCCAGGATGAGAACAGCAATAGTTTTGTGCTCTGGTAACTGATTTGCCACCCAGGATGGAGAGGCTTGAAGTCATGGTCTCAAGATCTGGGTTCTGCCCCCAAAAGAAATGGTTACAGGGTATGAATGAGCGGATCTCACACAGGCTGGCATTGGGTTGAAATCAGGAGCATGCTTTTTGAGCATCATCTCCTGCTTGTTGGAGTTATGCCAACATTTGCTGAGCACGTGAAGTGAATTCCTTCTTGGTGACACTCAAGCCAAAGACCTCTCAAAGTGCTCCACCTGCCAAAGGGCTTCCAGTCCATACGGCCAGACTGGAGGTCGTACAAAGTAAACCTTCTGCTCCCTCCCAAAATGTGTCTGGTTTGGACACTGGGTATTTGGCACCAAAAGTTTTGCTCTGTAGATCTGTTGCTGTGAGTCTGCACTACATGCTAACGCAGATGTAACCACAGAATGCTGGTGGTCTCCCTGAAATGGACTCTGAAGCACAAAACAGTTGAAAATTGCCCTGGTATATAACCAAAAGGCTGCAGCAGATGAGCTTTTTACTAGGTCTGGCTTCCCTGAATGACCCTTTCTATGATCTCTGTTTTGTGATGAATTTAAGGATGCCAGTGAACTTCTGGAGTATGTGAAGTTTACAGAAACTCTACAATCCAAAATGGGTAAAGTTTACATCTTCCTCAAAAAAAAAAAAAAGGAAAAAGAAAAAAAGTCTGATAATAGCCTGTACAATGGAAAGGCATAAAGTCACTCAAGAAACTTTTAAAAGAGGAGACACATCTTGACTTCATAATCCTAAGGAGAAAGTAACAGTAACTCAAATATACTGCCTCTTGTAAGGTATCCCGTAAGTTTTTGGTCCAAATAAATAAAATGGAATATAGGATACAACTGGGATAATTATCGTGAATAGGATTTCAGCCTGTCAGTATCTGGGAACTGTGGAATTCAAGGTTGCTAAAAGAATATTAAGTAATGAATGTCTGTAATGAAAAGTATTTCAACAAGAACATTAATATTTCTTAAAAGATAAAAAAAAAAGACAAATCCCAAAGCCATCTCCTTTGAATTGCTGCAATGAGACTGAGCAAAGAAAAATTCTAAGAATGTCAGTAAAATTGTTTTAGGTTGATGTGAAAATCATCACTTACCTACAGTAGTTAAAATGCCATTGCATCCAATCAGTTAATTATTTTTTCTTTTGTCTCCCCCCTCCTTCTTTTTTCAGTGTTAGTATTTTAGACTTTGTTGGGATGAAAACTGAAGCTGAAATAAGGATATAGTTCATGTGTTAAGCTAAGTTTCATTACGATTTCCTTTGGGAAGGTGGTTAAAACAATACTTCTACAACAAGCATGCAACACAGCTCAAAACAAAGACAGGAGTAAGCAGGTGTTTTGTATTATTATTATTATTATTATTATATTCCTATATCATCTATAGCAATTACCTGCTGTTGCATTATGGCAGGTAGTTTGACCATCTGTAAAAGATAGGTAGAAGGAGAAAAGAATGAGAGGAAAATTTGATAAAAACCGAGACAGAAAAGTAAGATATACAGTCAGCACAAGCACTTGCCCTTGAGAAAAGCTAAGAGTGAAGACTAAATGTTTGATAGGAAATGGACTTTGAGCTGGTGTGAAGATGCCCTCTTTGTCTCTTAGGAGATAGGAGTTTGTCCACTTTCTTTAGACAATCAGGATTGTATCAAAAATACCTGATGTGGTCATTAGTCATTAGCTTTACAACAACAATTTTTAGGGGAGAGAAAGCTGAGAATGGATCTTGTTTTTCTTACAAGTTGAGGTGAAGTAGATCTGAAAGCGGCCAAAATAAATACAGCCCAGAAATTAGACATGGGGGAAAACCAGCTCTCTTAATCTTCAGCTGTAGGTGATCTTTCCCTGTCAGTTGGGCTTACTGACACTTTCCTCCCCTTGCATTTTGTTCTTGAAGCTTGAGAGCCATGAGGACTCCCTATGTCCCTCTCTTTCCTGCCCAGACAAATTGTTCAGCCCCCACCAGTAGCCTGAAGGGAAATACAGAGCTGAGATAGAGTAGCTGGCATAGTCCACAATGTGTCCCCAAAAGACCCCTGATGCCCAGGATACAACACTTAATTTTCTTCACTGATACAACCAACATTCAAAAGACACCTTGAATTCTGCAGTAGTTTGGACCTTGTGTGGTTCACAGGAGAGTAAACAAAACAGAAAATTGGAATTCTTCTGTTTCCTTTTCAGTCTCTCTGTTTTTCCTTGCACAGCTTTTTCAGTGGCTCCTGACATGATACTACCTGATTACTTCAGTGAAGACCCCATCACTATTTTCAGTTATTTTGTAAAAGCAAGAAAATTTGGGAACATGGTTCATGGTTTTCTGTACCCTTTTTTAAACCTAGGTCTATTCTGTGTGCACCACATTGCATTATTTAATGTACATAATTTAAGTGTCTTTTTACATTATTTCAGCACAAAGGAAAACAGAGATCAAAGAATTTTGACTTTCTTATTCAAACAGTTTCCTTCTTGGTCAGATCATTACAGAAAAGATGCAAAGGTGGAAGGAATGGAGCATACTTTTTGGTATAAAGACACCTTTCTGTTTTTACCTTTATAGGGATGTAAGCAGTGCTAAACCTGTAACTACTAGGCTTAGTAAACTCATTCTATGGACTCACTTTACTTCTCTCTCTCACAGAATTCATCCCTTAGTGATGGAAGATTTTCACTACCTAGTTTTAAATGATCACACTGTTATTCAGTAGGTAGCCCACAAGAAGACCTTTGTGTCAATATAACCAGGAATGGGATTTGCACCTGTCTGTTTCTATATAATGTCATATTTAACTTACAGATCTTTTGTTAAATTCAGATTGAATGTTTATTTCAGTGCAGACTCTTCTCCAGCTGTGCTGTATCAGGGCCTAATTCTAGGAAGTGAAGAGCACAAGGCCAAATCTCATTGAAATGACCATTATTTGTGCTTGTCAAAAACATCTAAATCTTTGTACTACTCTATCATCTCTTGGATGTCAAGAGAAATTTTTAAAGCTTAACCCCTTGCTCAAAATTAAACTTGTGATGTGGACTCCCCTCAGCTTTGTAAAAGCCAGCTCCCAGAATTGGAGTAGAAAAATTTATAGAAACGTATTTTTGATGGATTGAACCAAAACTCAAGATTGTTAACCCCCATCTGGATTTGCAGCTTTCAATTTAGGACTACCTTGTGAAAATAGCAATCTTTTGAAAAGAAAGGAAAATCAGAACATAGCAGCCACCTTGAATTAGCAAGTCACTACAGTTTTTGTATGCCCAATGTGATTGTTATTTTTCCCTCAAACAGTTAAAACATGTTTAACTTAGAACTAGGACTTCCTGTAGAAAACTTAGCTAAACAAAAGTACCCAATAAAGATTCTCATCCCCAATGCTGACTTTTCCTATATTGAAAGTTCAGTCCACAACACAAACTCAGCCCCCACACCACATTTGGGTCCCATTTTAGGAGAGGATTCATCAATTGGTAAACATGTGTGTATTGCTAAAGCTTGGCCAATGCAAATGCCACTTTACCAACATTCATTTATTTGAATGACAAGGTCTGGTGTCTTGGGTGTTTCATTAAACAAATTCAAGAATAATCTAGTAACGTGTAGGTCTGTTGAAACACTTGAAGTAGCTTACAATTTTACTTTTCTTGGACAGTCTTGGAAAAAGTATAATTGATACTGGCTGATCATAAAATAAAAATAAATATATGTAAGTTAAAAAATAAACCAGTTTTCTAACTCCTGTATTCCATAAAAATAGGAATGTAGCCTTTTATGAGGAACTGCCAAAAGAGCTATGAAAGTGCTATACCTTCTCTGTGGACACAAAAATGGTAAGTGTAAAATATTCACACACTCTGGGAGGAGAGGATCTCTGAGATAATACCCTATGGCAAGTTAGAATGAAAATACTAGTAATTAAAATTTTTTTTTTTTAGAAAAGAAAATGTGAAAGTCATTGACAAAATTATTACATCCAACTACTTTACATTTGAATGTGCCTTATCTCACATCTCTTTTACCACAGATAATAATTCTACAATAGCTAGAAGTAAGTGATGTGACTTTCAGTTATATTATACAGTGTATAAAAAATGTCCGTTAATGCCTGTCATACAATCACAGCTGTTAGTTTTTTTAGTAGCATTTTGAAGACTCTCAGTCACTTCCAGCCCCCATACAAGCTCCCCCCATCCCCGTCAGCGTCCTCTCCTTCTTCGCTGGTTCTTGCTTGGGGGCTTCAGGAGACTCTCTCGGTATTTCACATTTGTGTGGAACAGTCGGACCATTTCATGGTCTTTGTTATCCAATACTCTGGGCAGAAAGAGAGATGATTTCTGTGTCCTACGAGTTTTAAAGCCCCTTCTGGGTCGTCCTTTCCCATTGATTGAGACATACCAGAGTCTCTCCGCACTGGCTTTGCGCTTGGTGCCGGCTCTGTTGGGTACAGTCCGGTAGAGACGGGATGCGTAGGTGTTATAACCCAATTCATGGATCCTCTCCACGAACTCACACTCTGCATTATAATTTTCCTGTAAAGCAAACATGACAAAGTTTAAGAAAGACTATATGGGTAATAGCTCTCTTCCACCTCAGTAAGATTGGACTAAAGTCTTAAGCAGGACTACTCAGTTTTAGGATAAGGACAGCAACACGTGTGGTAAGAAAAACTGAGACTGGTGCTACAAAAGGCAAGCAGGAGAGAAGCGCTGAGCCTGAACTGCTGTGCAACAAGGTGCTCCCTGTCAGCAGTGTGAGCATACACTGTGCATCAGAGACAGAAGGAGGCCAGAAAACAATTTGAAAACAAAAAATGGCATGTGAATAGGAATGAATAGCTCTGCTGATTGTTCAGCTGTAAATTTAATTTTTTTTGAGCTTACCGATCTAAATATGGCTGTGAACTGGACAGATGATTTAATTGCTGCCTATCAACCTTTGACATCTCTTAAAAAGATAAAATCCTACAGTTTAATGTAAAATGTGGCTCTTTAATTGGTATATTAGTAGTTAGATATACCTGCAGTCTTTTACATCCAGTTTGTTACAGATATTTGAGCAGTAAATACCACCTTTATGAAGCTTCTTTGTTTGCTTCATCGAAACAAAATCAAAGTACACCCTGCCCAGCAGTGTGTTCATCCAAAATGCTAGGCTGCTCCTTTATCACAAACTATAAGGGAGAACACGCACCCATCCTGGGTGCTTGCATTTTACATGATCTGTCAAAATTCGCCCCTTTTCATCTGGTCTTCGACTGAGAGGAGACTGTGCAGAAGCCTGGCACAAGCGACTCCTTCCTCCTCCCCGGGAGCAGTAGAAACAGTGCAAATAAAGGACCTCCCACACTGTACATCTTTTCTTAACTACAAAATCATCTTTGCTGTAACTGTGTGATTAAGACTTCAGTATCTAATGCGTGTAAGGCACAGAGGCAGAGGGGAACGGCTACTATGGTCTTTACAGAGGTTTTTTATTTCGCATTGCCTCTCTGGAGGACATAGGAAAGGGCATAGGTAGCCAGGCTGGGGCCAGAAAAGCTATAGGCTCCATTAACAACATGTCTTTAATGCTGTTCACTCACCAGAAATGCTGATAGGCATTTAACAAGGTTTTAAAAGACTCCACATGTCTCAGCTTCACAGCTGTAAAACGGAAGTGCCCTTCCTTGCAAGGACAAGGTTTGCATATGCTGTGGTGCTGGAACCCACGCAACTACCATATGTAGGCAGATTTGTCCTGCTGTCTGCCTCCGTTCTGGTTGTAGAGGGTTTATCACAAAGGATAAACCCATAGGATTTTCACAATCTGCTAAGGACACAAAGGAATTCTACAGACTCAACAAACTCATTTTATTGACATGGGAAAATTGGTGAACCAAGGGATAAGAGAGTTATTCTAATATTATTTCATAAAATGTTCCCTGTATAATTATCCCCAAAGAAGTCAGTCTTATTTGAAATGGGGGTCTTGCATGGGTTCCTGGAACTGTAGTATCAGTAAAGTTGTTGGTCAGTTTTTTCTAGGCAAGCAAAGCCAGGAAGTTTCTCCTGAGCTGAGCCCTCACCCCTTGCTGCTTCCGTGAAAAAAAGCTGGAGTTGAATAGTTTTTCCTGGATTGTCCCTCCAGCTCTGAAACACAACTCTGAAACAGCCTCTCTCAAACTTGAGCTGGAACAGCAAAAATCATCTTTTCTAGTTGTACAGAAACCTTTAATGGCTGATGTTCCTTGGCATGTGACAGCTGAACAAACTTCAGGATGGCCTGATGCTCTTCACACTAGAAAGGGAAATCCAGGAGAAAAGGACTCTCTGTTCTATCCTACTCTAGGCTTTTCTCGACTCCAGAAGAGGAGCTTTTTGCTCAGAATTTGTTTAGCCTTATTTTAATTCAGCTTAATTAATCTGGAGGAAAAACTTACCTATTTTGAACAAGAAAGAGAGAAAGATGAGAAAACTTGAAAATTCATCCTTCCCGTTCATTTCTTTGGAGCAGACGCTGGCTCTGAGCTGATGGAGGAGCTCCATTGAAAAAGATGCCCATTTTAATCAGAATATTAACTGGAAGCAAAGAAGTGGCCAGCCTGAGCTCTGGCACAGCAGAGCTACTATGTCCTCATTCCACTTCAGCTGCATTTTCCTTTGCCAAAATTGTTTGTGATCTGCTTCCCTGCACCAGCAAAGAACCATCACCTTTATACACAGGCCCTTTAATCAGTGTGCATCACATGAGACACATTACAGAAGCTGGGTCGTAAACACCATCAGAACATTCTTGCAAAGGTGGAGTAAAACGTATTAAACCAGAGAGGCAACTGAGTTGATTGTGTTACCAAGGTTGCATTCACATGGAAAGAGCTCACATTGCTCAAGGATATATCATGCTGTTCAAATCAACAGAATTACACATAATGACTATTTGGAGGAAGCAGATTTCACATAGCCATATTTACCCTCTTCAAATCTGTTTCCATACCACAGGATTCCCGGAGAAACTGCACAGTATGGCTGTCACACAGTAAGAGATCACAAGATTGCTAGGGATGTAATCAAAGACAATGGAAGAAATTCAAGTAGGTAGGTAATGTGAATAGTAGACACACTGACAAATAGGCCTTAGTATGTCCCTGAATGTGAAGAAGTCTAAGCTAAAGTATTTTATTCACTGAGGGGAAATATTGGCTGGGCTGGAAAGGCAAGACTCCCACTAACAACAGCACAGCCCAGATTTTACCTCAAAGGTCAGGACAAAAAATGAGGTCAAAGGAGTAAAATAAGGTGTTTATTTTCACCTTTATCTTCTTGCACCTTCTCATACTTCCTTTCCTTGCTATAGCCCTGCCTTTTAGTACCTGTAAATTCTTTCACTGCCCAGCCAAATGCTCAGTGCAAAGAAACTCCCGACAGTAGGCTGCTTTCCTGTAACAGAGATGCTCAATTGCTTCTGGATATTCTCTGTCTGAGATGTATATCCTCTGCCAGTGTCCAAGATCAAATATAAATATGGATAATTTTGGATAGAGATGGACATTCTGCACTGCAAAGGCTAGGTCCTGAGGTCTTTATCAGTGCACCCAATTGCTCAGAACTTTGGCCGTGTGAAATACCTTTGCCAAATACATTCCTCTGCCTTTGGCCGTAGAGGCAATAAGAAAGTAAGAACATAGCTTCTTTCCACTTTTAAAGATATACTGATTGGTTGCCTGTAACAATTCCAGACAGAAATCTGTTATAACATTACTCTTTTCTTTATAAATGTTTATGCATAAGAAATCAGTGCTCCCCACTGAACCTGTTCTGCCCATAGGAAATGGCAGGCCAGTCTTAAGTAAAACTTACTGATGCATAAAGTCTGCCCCTTTTGTTCATGGCCAGGTATCTGCCAGAGAACAAGCCCTTGATGGCAACGATTCCAACATCAACAGCAGTTATTTCAAGAATACCTAGAAACAGAAACAATTATGAGATATGTTGTTGCTCCCCATCACACGTAAATTTTCGAGATACGTTTGAATGACTGCTTACCTGCAGAGTATGATTTCACAGCTATCACTAGCTGACACCAAAATCATAATGCAATCAGGTGAATGAAACAAGACTATTATTTGAAACAATATAAAACGACGACGATGTCGGAATTGTTTGAGACAAGCTTGACAATAAATCCCTAGATGTCTGATTGAGATTGAACTCTTCCAAAAATGAAAGAGATCTGACACTGAACTAGAGGTTCACTTAATCCTATATGTATATAAAAAAGTTTAAATCCTCTTTAATGCTTAGGAACACAAGAGCTCTTGACTTATTGAAACCAGTCACAAAGCTGTCCATTTCAGGACAAAGCCCTTGCTGAGGTCTCCAGAGGGTAAAACAGAGTGAGTTGGCTGCATTTTAGAGAAGAGCCATGTATATAATCACGAAAGGAACTTGTCATTTAAGAGGTCAGTGTAGCCCTCCAGACAAGGACAATATGACTGTTTGAGCCAAATTAAAAGGGAGGAGATTTTCAGGTCATCAAAGACAGGGGCTCAAACACAAGAAGACTGTCACCGGTGAGGCTGGCACAATACCTGCCAAAACGTGTACGTCCAGCCAAAGGTGCCACAACGCCGAAGGAGGCACAAATGGCTCGGGAGATGTGTTGTATGTGCAGGGCTCTCTAGCTGGCTCGCTCAAACTCTCCTCTCAGTTCTTCAGCTGTGGCCCGATGACTTGGTACTTTCTGCGTGTTTGGAGGCGAGAGGTGACCCTTGCACCCAAACCCATTGCTGCCTTTCGGCAACAATAAAGCAGAGCCGGGGCCTGTCCCCTTTGCAGAGCTGGATTGCTGGCCTGACCGTGTCTGGGAGAATTTGGTACAGCTGTTTTGAATCAGGCACCGGTTCGCTGCTGAAGGATGCCTCCTCCAGGCTTTGATAGCGAGGGGGTTTTCCTCTAGGAAATAGTGGTTTTCCTTTATGGACTTCAGACAGATCCCTGAGGTCTTCCTATCTCTGCGTGCCATCACCAGGCGGGATTTACGCTTCCTGGGGTGGCGGGGCCGGGGCGGAGGCCGGGCTGTGCCCGCGGCCGGGGCCGGGCTGGGTGCGGGGGTGCCCGGGGGTCCACCCGGGGCAGAGGCAGCCCCGAGCCCCGCTCTCCTCCCTTCTGCCGCCCTCGCACAAACCCCCTCACTCCCGACATATCGCGTTTCATCTTAATTACCGCCGATCCCCGGCACATGTCAAAGGGGACAGATGTGATTTAGCCCGTGGAAGCTCAAGCCCCCCCCGTGGGAGACAAGCTGGGCCGGGACGAGGGAGGCGAGGGCAGCCTGCAGCCCGTCGAGGAGGGCACCGGTTGCCCAGCGCTCCGGGCTGGGGCAGGGCTGGCGTGGGAAGCCAAGCGAGGGCAAGTGAGAGGCCGGCCGGGCTGCTCAAGGCGGGTTCCCGGTCCCCGTCGGGGGGGGGGGTGGAACTTGGGGTTTTGGGATCCCGCTCTGCCCCGGGGAGGGGGGCTGAGCCCCTCCGCCGCCGGCCGGGTCCCCGTACCCCGCAGGACCCCGCTCGGGAGTCCCCTGCCCGGGCCGGGAGCAGAGGGGGCTGCCCCGTCGAGCCCGCCAGCCCTCCGGGGATGGAGCGGCAGCGGGAGCCGGAGGATGCGAGGGCGCGGACGGGGCGCTGCGTTCCCGAAACGCCGAGGCGAGATCTCGCCGAGCCCGACGAGGGGAGAGGGCGAAAGCTCCGGCGGCTGGGGGTACCCCCGGGCCCCGTACGGTCCCTCCGGCCCCGGGGCAGCGGCGGGCAGGAGGAGAGGCTGGAGCGGCTTCTCCACCGCCCCGTCCAGCACCGTCCCGGTACCCACCGTCGCCTGCCCGTTGATGCTGGAGCAGGACGCAATTGGTCCGAGCGAGAGACCCCCCCCCCCTTCTCCCCACACACCCGGGGGAAGCGGGCTGGGGAAAGGTGTGTGGCCGGTACTCACTGAAGACGCTGTTTTTCTCCAGGGTGCCGTTGATCTTGCCGTTGGGGTGGATCTGGAGATGGTACTTGGTGGCACAGTAGAGTTTCCTGCGCCTGGGCGCTCCGCCGAGGTGCTCGTAGACGCCGCCGCGGCCCCCCGCATCCCGGCGGGGCCGGGGGTCGCTCGGGGAGGCTCCGGCGGCCCCGGGCAGCCCCGCGGCCCGCCCTGGGAACCAGGGCTCCGGCACCAAACTCAGGAACAAGATCCAAATTATAACCATTGTGGCATGATGGCCGCAGCGCTTAGTCTGCTGGGGAGATCGAGGCTCGGAGCGAATGACACCAGGGGTCCCATTAAAGCCGTCTTGCTAGCAGCACTCCGAAGTTGCAGAGCACACACTGTTTCGAGCCGCGAAGCATCGGCAAGTTTTTATCAGCCTCGATCCGGCCCTTTTATCTGTCTCAGATTTACTTAAATCAATAGACATCAGCAAAGGCCACCGAAGAGTCCCAGCTGTTTGTATTAGATGGAGCTGCCGTGATCAGCCTTCTCCTTGGGTTTCCAGATAGACAGACGGCATGCATGAGAGACAGAGAGCCAGAAGGAGAGGGAGACAGAGAGAGAGAGAGAAAGAGAGAGGCACCCACTGAATTTCGGCAAGAGACTGCGGGGAAAAATAGTTGATCGACGGAGCATAGAAATAAAAGCAGCTTCCTGCAACAATAGCCTGATCTGCGACCAATTGATCCAAAGCAGAGGAGGCAAAAGGTATCAGTCTCGTGTGAACTCCCAGAGCGCAGCGTGGATAAAATTACACAGCATCTCTCTCTCCCCGACACGCCGCGCACCCCCGCGCAGCCCCCGCGCGGGGAGGGGGGCAGGCTGGCTGCGGTCGCCTCCCGCCCCGCTGCCGGCCCCGCGGAGAGGCGCGGTGCAACCGCGGATCCTGCGCCGGGTACCGCCACCCCCCCGCTCAGCCCGGGGCCCGCCTGCCGCAGCTGGGGCGGGGGGGGGAGGCTTGGGGGGGGTGGGGGGTGTGGAAGGAAACAGTTATTACTAAATCAGTCGGTTCACGGTTACAAATAATATGCATTATTTTGACAGGTCTTTCAAGATTTAGTCATTTCTAGCTGAACTGAGACAAAGTAGGGCCCAGCAAGCGTGATGATATACGTCCCCCAATGCGTTTGCGAGAAGTCGGAGCTAATCCTTTTTCTTAACTCTGGTGCCTGGCAAGTCTCATTAGCTGTAGCAGATCTGCACTCGCTACCACGTAGCTTCACACGACTGCCTACGCTTTCAAAATATGATGGAACTACCTATAAATAAATATAAAAGGAGGCAAAAGGTTCAACAACTCAGTGAATTACGCTGTCCCTGTGTGCTACTCAAAGGCAGCTCGTTAATTAGATTTGCATCTGAAACAGGCAGTAGGAGTTTTGGGGAAGTGTTTGAGAGATAATTAGTATTAATGTGCTTGAAGGGCACACAAATACACCTTTGAAGTGAGTCACGTCAGAATTCAAGCTTTTGACCTTGATCAATATATTTTTTTCCAGAATCGGTGAACAAGAAGAGGTCTATAAAATATTTTTTAAAGACATTCCTATGTAGAGCACGAGGATTTTCTTACACGTTGAAGAGATCTTAAAAAAAAAAAAAAAAAAAAGGCAGCTTTTACTAGTGGGAAAATAAAGGAAGGGATACGACCTTTTCCTACAAGGAATGGCAGGAGGACGAAGCGATCTCGAAAGCTACTCTCTATTTTAAGCTGTGCTTAATATTTAGTAGTTCTCCAAGGCTAAAAGGCTTTTCATTATATATAGTCGTCTGGAATAAAAGGAAACACATAAAAAACCCACAAGCACCCCTCTCCGCCATTACCACCCCTTCCTCCCCCTTTTCTTCTCCACAAGTTAAGCCCTACCAGCCTCACAGGGAGAGTTTGATCTGGGGATGATAAATGTTTGTACAATTAATTCTTTATTGCTGCTCTTCTGCAATGCCACTTCCAGGCAGTCATGTAGTTCCAGTATAGTTAGTAAAAGTAAACGACTGGAAATTAAAATAATTCAAGCACCGTATCCACGTAAAAATATGAAAACATAAACATGCAGGACCCCAATCTTGGAGTGTACGCGGGTAGGGGGCGGGCGGGGGGGGGTCGTTGCTTGCGGGCCAAATCCTTCAGTCTCTCGTAAAACAAGAACCCCTCTGAAAAACCTTCCTTTCGGGGATGCACCGCAAACCGTGTCCTACGGTGCTGACGACCTACAAGACAAAAGTGGTAGGAGAAAAATATCTCTGAACATGCTACGGGTCTCCCGAAAGATGCTTTCACCGGCACCGCGCGAAGGCGAGATAAAAGATAATTACTTTCAGTAATTATAGCGATCTCTTCCGAGTAAATCTCAGGTCGTCCCGAGCCTAGTGCATCGCCCTATAGATGTACAGCTGACATTTTACAATTTTGGATTTGCAGGGCATTTTTCATTAGTGCTCTGAAAAAAAAACAATCCCGAAAGATCCTCCTCCCCCCCCCCCCCCCCCCACCACCCAAAAAAAAACAACAAAAACAGAGAGGGG